TAGATTTTTGTTTCATTTTCATTATTACTTTCCATTTCATTGTTTCCTGCTCTTTAAGATTTTCTTTCTTCTGCTTATTAGGAGTTTAGTTTGCTCTTCATTTTCAAGTATAAGAACTCTAATGGCTCAATTTAACCTCTCTTCTGTTAGAGTTAAGCATTTAAAGTCATATATGAATATTTCTCTTTTGACATGACTATAGCTTCATACCACAGACTTTTGATGTCCTTTCATTTTTCTTCAGTTTAAAATAATTTATAATGTTTCTTGTGGTCACATACATTCTCCAAGTAATTTCAACCCTTTCCTGCTTACTGAGGCTTTTTAATAGTTGATCATGCAGTATCTTTGATGAATATTTCATGAGAACTTGAAAACAATGTATAGTCTGCAGTTGTTTAGTGCAGTGCTCTACATGTCACTTGGGTCACACTGGTACTATTGAGACGAAGTTTCTCTCTTGTTGCCCAGGCTAGAGTGCAATGGCATGATCTCGGCTCACGGCAACCTCTGCCTCCCAGCTTCAAGCGATTCTCCTGCCTCAGCCTCCCAAAGTGCTGGGATTGCAGGTATGAGCCACCACAATCGGCCTGGTAGTATTATCAAAATAGTCTATTTTCTATATAACTAAGAGAGAAATGTTTAAAATTTCTGATATAGGTTTATCCCTCCTATCAGATTTTGCATCATGTGTTTCCAAACTGTTATCAGGTGAATACACACTTAGAATGATGCTTTTTTGAAGTGATTGATGCCTTTAATGTTAGATATATACGTATTTCACTCTCTCTGGAAATATCCCAATAGTAGACCTGAAGCCTGCTTTTCTTTGTGTGTGTTAATACAGCCGCCTCAGCTTTACGGCCGAGGTGTGCATAAATTTCCATTCTTTTATATTATTTTTGTGTCACCCAGGCTGGAGTGCCGTGGCACGATCTTAGCTTACTGCAACCTCCACCTCCCAGACTTTTCTATTAAGTCAATTAAGAATAAGAGAAGATTTCATTTTACCTTCACTTATTTCTCTCTGACGTGCTCCCTTTTTTACATACATTTTAGTTTCTTACGTATATCATATTCCTTCGCCCTGAATAATTTTTATTATTTCTTAAAGGGGAGATGTATCGGCAACTAATTCTCTCAGTTTTTATTTAAAGAAGTTTTTCTGTTTTTGTTTTGAGACAAGAGTCTTTCTCTGTGGCCCAGGCTGGAGTGCACTGGCATGATTATCTTGTCTCACTGCAATCTCTGCCTCCCAGGCTCAAGCAATTCTCCTGCCTCAGCCTCCTGAATAGCTGGGACTACAGGTGCCCAACGCAACACCCAGCTATTTTTTGCATTTTCTTTTAGTAGAGACGGGGTTTCACCATGTTGCCCAGTGTGGCCTTGAACTCCTGAGCTCAGGCAATCCCAACTCACCTCAGCTTCTCAAAGTGCTAGGATTACAGGTGTGAGCCACTAAGCCAGGCCTTATTCTTTGAGTTTCGCTCTGTATCCCAGGTTGCAGTGCAGTGGAGCCATCTCCGTTGACCACAGCCTCCGCCACCCAGGTTCAAGCGATTCTCCTGCCTCAGCCCCTCAAGTAGCTGAGGCTACAGGCACATGCCACCATGCCCAGCTAATTTTTGTATTTTTAGGAGACGTAGAGTTTCGCCATGTTGGCCAGACTGGTCTTGAACTCCTGACCTCAGGTGATCCACCCACCTCAGCCTCCCAAAGTGTTGGGATTACAGGCGTGAGCCACTGTGCCCAAAGTCCATTCTTTTATTTTTAGCCTATCTGTGTTTCTACATTGAAAGTGTTTTTCTTACAGATAACATAATAAGTCATTAGCCATTCTGACAGTCTCTACCTTTTTACTTGTTTAGTCTATTTACACAATAATTATTAATATGATTGTGTCGGGTCTACCAATTTTCTTTTTCTGTATTTTTCTCATCTTTTTTCTTTTCCTGATTTTTTTGGGACTAATTTTTGTATTCTAATTTATCAATGCTGTTAGCTTTGAGCCAATTCCTGATTTTTTTAAAAGTGGTTTCTCTGGAGTTTAGAACATGCACCATTAACTCAGCAGTCTTTAAGTAACATTGTATCACTTTGCACAGCCTGTGAAGTTTAACACCTGAATGCTTCATCTTCCTGTCCTTTGTGCTACCCTTATTAAGTTTATTTCTACATGTTATACATTATTTTTTTTCTAAATCAGCTATCTTTGAAAGAAATTAAAAAGTATTTTTATCAACATACGTGGCATTTGCAGTGCTTTCCATACCTTAAGGTGTTGGGTTCTATCTGCAATCCTTTTCTTTTAATCTAAAGAACTTCATATAATCTTTCTTACAGTGCAGATCTGGTGGTGATAAATCAATCCTCTGGTCTAAAAGTATCTTTATTTTGTCTTAAGTATTCTTTTTTTATTTTTGAGATGGAATCTTGCTCTCATGCCCAGGCTGGAGTGCAGTGGCATGATCTTGGCTCACCACAACCTCGCCTACAAGGTTCAAGCGATGATTCTCCTGCCTCAGCCTCCTGAGTAGCTGGGGCCACAGGTACATGCCACCATGCCAGGCTAATTTTTGTATTATCAGTAGAGACAAGGTTTCACTATGTTGGCCAGGCTAGTCTCGAACCTCCCAAAGTGCTGGGATTAGAGGCGTGAGCCACCACAAGTGGCTGAAGTATTCATTTTTAAAAAGATACTTGTGCTGAACACAGAATTCTAGGCTAATGGGTTTATTCTTTCAGTACTTTAAAAAATGTCATTCCCTTATAGGTTACACTATTCCTTTTTTTTTTTTTTTTTTTTTTGAGACAGAGTCTCGCTCTGTTGCCCAGGCTGGAGTGCAGTGGTGCAATTTTGGGTCACTGTAACCTGCCAGGTTCAAGTGATTCTCCCGCCTCAGCCTCCCAAGTAGCTAGGATCACAGGCACACACCACCACCACGCCCAGATAATTTTTGTATTTTCAGTAGAGATGGAGTTTCGTCATGTTGGCCCTGCTGGTCTAGAACTCATGACTTCAAGTGATCTGCCAGCTTTGGCCTCCCGGAGTGCCGGGATTACAGGCGTGACCCACCACGCCTGGCCAGTTACATTACTCCTAATGACGAGTCAGTGCTCACTCTTACCTTTCATCCCTTGAATGTCATGAATTTGTTTGTAAGAGCTACTTTTTTTTCCCCCTTTTCTTGAGATAGGGTCTGACTCTGTCACCCAGGCTGGAATGCAGTGGCACGAACACAGCTCACCACAGCCTTTACCTCTCAGGCTGAGGTGATCCTCCTACCTCAGCCTCTCAAGTAGCTATTGACTACAGGCAACCTCCACCAGGCCTGGCTAATTTTTGTAAAGAAAGGGTTTTGCCATGTTGCTCTTGAGCTGGTCTTGAATCCCTGGGCTGAGGCAATCCAACCATCTTGGCCTCCCAAAGCGCTAGGGTTACAGGCCCGAGCTACCACACCACACCTATTCTGGTTAGTTTTAAGACCTTTCTGTTTAACTATGGTTTTTACCTATTTGCTTATGACACGCTTTGGTGTGCTTTTCTCTATTATTTCTTCTGCTTATTCTTTCATCAGTAGTTTCTGGTAGCTTGCTACAATGCATCCTGGTGTAGTTTTCTTTGTATTTATATTGTCTGGTAATTGCTGAGTTTCTTGGATCTGTGCCTTCATAATTTTGCTGAAAATTGGACAGTTCCCTGACATTATTTTTTCTTTTTTGCTTTCCCTTCTTCTCTGTGAATGTAATTATCTATATGTTAGACTGCCTATAGCGTACCAAAGGACACTGAGGCCATGTTCAACTCCCTGTTGTTGTTCTTCAACTTTTCCCTTACTGTGCTTCTACCACTGTCCCTTTTCCTGTGCAGTATATAATGTACTGTCAGGCTTACCATGAAAATCTCTTATTTCAGTTGTATTTTAATCTTTAGAAGCTCCGCTTGGTTCTCTGTTGTATCTTCCATTTATCTTCTATTTATGCTTTCCTTTAAGTCACATTAAGAGTTCTTCTTTGCCAATTGTACCGTCTCTGTCATTTCTGGATCTGTTTTTCTTGCCTGATTTTTCTCCTGTACAGTTTTTGCTTCTTTGATGCCACATGATTTTCCATTAGATATCAGATATTGTGAATGTTACACTGTAAATGCCTGAATTTTCTTCTTTTTTGAGAGAGGGTTTTACTCTGTCACCCAGGCTTGAGCAGAGTAATATGATTGCAGCTTACTGCAGCCGCAACCTCTTGGACTCAGGTGAGAGGAACAACAGGCACATGCCACCATGCCTGGCTAATTTTCCTATTTTGTGCGGAGACAGGGTTTCACCATGTTGCCCAGCCTGGTCTAGAGGTCTTGAGCTCAATTCTTTGCCTGCCTCAGCCTCCCACAGTGCTAGGATTACAGGTGTGAGCCACTGTGCCTGGCCTGGTGGATATTTCTGAAATGGGTCACTTACATGGCCATCAGCAGTCCTTGGTTTCTTACTTGGCAGCTTCCCCTATAAGGCTGCTTGAGTGTTCTCTTGACATGGCAGCTGGCTTCCTCCAGAGTGAGTAATTTGAGAAAAGGCAAAGTGGGGGCCTCGTCTTTTATGACCTAGTCTTAGAAATCACACACTTCCTATGATGTCCTATTGGATACACAGGGAAAACCCTATTCAATGCAGGAAGGGACAAAAAAAAAGTTGTGATTACGAGGAGGCAAGAATCACTGGGGGCCACTTTGGAGCCTAGTGGACACAATCAGTAAGCTTTTACTACATATAAATAAGGAAATGACAGAAAAATAATAATTTTGCTTCTGAAAAAAATTTTCTAAAAAAAAAAAAAAAATACATACACACACACACACATATATATGTATATATTTGTTCAAATTCCCAAGTTATTTGATTCTGCCAAAAAAGGAATTTTCAGCTTTATAGGTCATGTTATTATACTCCATAGATTGGAAAGGGGAGATATTTATTTAGTAAGTTGGAGAGTATAAATTAATTTCTTACCAACCACCATCAGTGTGAACTCAAAACCTTTTTTCACTGATTTTCGGTGAACTTGATTGGGGAGATTGGCAAATCCAACATAGCCAGGAGTTTCTGGATTTATAAACTGAGCTGGTTGTTGCTAAATAAGATTGGGGGAAAAAAAAAAACAACTAATAAACACCTTAGTAGTTGCTTTTAAGATATAATCATTTAGACATGAAACAAACATAGGTGTCAGCAGTTTTCACAAATTTAACGTATGGATAAATTAACAATTCTATAAAGTCATACTTCTATCAGAAAACCAGCAGCATTCAATTAGAAGCATTAGAAAAAGAAAAACTAATGAATAACTCCTCAGCTATATGCTGATTGAAAATTAACATTTTGTTAATCAGTATTCTGCTTAGCAATTTAACAATACATAGAAGATACATGTTTAATTCATCTTAGTGCAATTTCAAATTGTGACTTGACAGACTACCTATGAAGTTCCAGGAATCTCAGTCAAGCTTACCCAGTACTGCTACAGCTGACAGTGCTGTGAATGAATGGTTTCACTCAACAAACTTGGCTAAAGAATAGCTCCACCAGTACTAGGTGAGATGTATTTATGAATGGTTTCACTCAACAAACTTGGCTACAGAATAGCTTCCACCAGTATTAGGTGAGGTGCATTTATGAAAAGTATCCAGGAAAAAGGCATCTCTCTTGTTACACTTCTAGTTCTACACAACAGAGTTTCACCAAGGGTGAGGCAGGCGAATTAAACGTGGGATGTTGAGTATTTAGCTTCTAAGACCAAGAAAGAAAAGACAGACAGAGAAGATGACAGCTGACTACACTGAAGCATCAACATTCCTTGATACAAGGGTATGTGATGAGAGAGGACAGCAATGTGAGAAGGCAAGAACAGCAGAAGTGAAATCACAATGCAGACGGTGGCTACTGAGAATGAGAAGTAGTTTAAAAATCTATTTATTAATTTTGAAAAAGGCGAGATATAAAATATTTCCCTTAAGATTACATTTTGTAAATGTACATTCATATGCACACACAGGTGAAAAATAATATATGTAACATATTAACAGTGGTTATTTCTGAGTGGTGAAATGGCAATTTTTTTTTTTTTTTGGCTTATCCATGTGCCACACTAGCACTTGTATAAAATGCAAAAACTGGTATAATTTTGCGTTGAATAGTTATGAACACCCACAGGACTCAAAGATTAAAAAATCAGAGAAATAATAATCTTGCAATGTTAATCACGAGTTCTGCTTTTCTCAGAATACGTTCTATAGAACTCATTTATCTCTGAGCTAACTTGCAAGGGCTGATTTAAACCAATTTATCAAGTCTAAGGGCCCCATCAATTTCATAATAATAAATTATTAGAATTCTAAATTATCTGGTCTGCTGGGAATTAACTGAGGGGGCTAAAAAGACTGTTACTGATGTGTGTAGTAAAAAGAGAGTAGAAGCCTGAAAAAAGAGAAAGCTCCAACTTTTTAAGATGACAATTAGGCCAGATTTGGTGGCTCATGCCTGTAATCACAGCATTTTGGGAGGGTGAGGCGGACAGATCACTAGGTCAGGAGATCGAGACCATCCTGGCCAACATGGTGAAACCCTGCCTCTACTAAAATACAAACAATCAGCCAAGTGTGGTGGCACGCAGTCCCAGCCACTCGGGAAGCTGTGGCAGGGGAATCAGCTGAACCCGAGAAGCGGATGTTGCAGTGAGCCGAGACGGCGACTTCATCTCCAAAAAAAAAAAAGATGACAATTAAATTAGAACTCTTTGTCTTAATGAATCAAATATATCAGTTGTATTAAAAATACTCATATAAATCCTGTCAACAGTCTGAAAACATAAAGCAATTTCTCCTCATGCTGTAGACACATGAAGTATGATCTTACCTTAGACATCTTGTGAAGTTTCGTCTGTCAAAAAAAAACACACACACATAAACGCACATACATAGTATGTATGTATATGCACGCATATTTAACAGCATGAACTGACCTGTAAAAAGACTTACACATAGGCAATGTAAAAAGAAAATACAATTTCAGGACCTTACAAATTTATTATGCCAAAGGGAAAAGTTAAGCACTGAAAGCCAACTCATGTAATACGACTACTTTTATTCTTTCCAACTTTTGTGTTTAGATTTTATACATTAACCAGACTCCCTATACTTTATTCAAACCTAGCCTAAATGACTAGTCAATAGAGATCCTTATGGCTGTTACTTCTTTTCAAAAGAAAGTTAAACAAACCCCTTCATGTGTAATCAACAGCAGCCAATCAAATTTGTATCTTTAAGTGACCCTCAGGACAGAAAATGTAATTCTGTTTGGTACCTCCATTTTGCCTATATAAACAGTCCTCATTTTTCCCAACCCCGGGAGTACTAATCACCATTCTTTGGTGTAGTTCTTTTCCCTAGACAGCAGCCCTCACACTTTGAACTTAAATGAATTCTTTTAACTGAATCAGGAGGCTTTTGATTATTTTAGATGACAGCATCTCAATTACTTCAAATATTTCCCTAGGAATAAAACAATCACCTATTACAAAAGTAAATTTGATTTAAAAAATTAGGCCGGGTGCAGTGCTCACGCCTGTAATCCCAGCACTTTGGGAGGCCGAGGCCAGCATGGTGAAATTCCAACTCTACTAAAAATACAAAAATTAGCCAGGATGGTGGTGCACGCCTGTGATCCCAGCTACTCAGGAGGCTGAGGCAGGAGAATCGCTTGAACCTGGGAGGCAAGATTGCAGTGAGATGAAATCACTCCAACCTGGGAGACAGAGCGAGACTTCCATCTCAAAAAACAAACAAATAAACAAAATAAAACAAATGGTGGCTGGGTGCAGTGGCGCATGCCTGTAATTCCAGCACTTTGGGAAGCAGAGGTAGGAGGGCTGCTGGAAGCCAGGAATCTGACACCAGTCTGGGCAACATAGCAAAACCCTGTCTCTACAAAAAAATTTAAAAATTTTCAAAACTTTTAAGTGGATAAAAGCCACTGTATATATACACGTACATACATATTCCATATTTTCAATAATATTCAAATATTTTTTCAGTACTGATTATATGTTAGACCCTAGGGACACACATGGGATGCTCACTACCCTGATCTCTGCAATTATGTAATTCCCCTTCTCTCTTTGAACCCTTTCAAAGAGGAAGGGATGCCATTACACAGAGCACTGTAACCTTAACATGTCTGCCATTCACCGAGATTCCTAGAGCTCCATGAGAACTAGGCCTTGACACTGGGGTACAGGATACAATGTAAACTACATTTACGAGGAAGGGAAATAGGACTGAAGGCATCTCAGTGTTTGAGAAATATAACAGTAGTTTTAGAGATATGTGTAATTTTCATAGAAATTTTAGAAACCATGAAGCTTTGGAAAGCATGGAGCCTGTTGGCTAACCTTCGGTAACACAAGGAAAGATAACTGACTACTGTCAAATTTTATTCCCTCTGGAGCTTAGAAACTTATTAAAAAGCTTCTCTCACTTTGTCTTTCGATTCCCATCCCCCAAATCTTAACTTCCTGAATACTGTGTACTCTGTGTTTCCCTTTTGACTGGAAATGTTCCCAACTACCTCGGAAGAAATGAGATCCCTGCATCCTCAACGTCACTTGGCTTGGTCAACCAAGGGATGGTAGCAAGATTCATGAGCCTTTAACCTCAGCAAAACCTAAGAGTAGAGGTCAAGTGTGAGTGTGGAGGAGGAGAACTTCCTAAAGGGAAAAAGAAGGGTCAGATGGAATACAGACACTTTTGGCAGAAGGATTTGGCATCTTGTTTTCAAATAACACAGAGGTAAGTATCTGATTATGGAAGTTAAAAAAGAAAAAAAAAGGTAATAAAATAACAAGGAAAATTTCCAAATTAAGAGAAAAATATGGAGAAAACAGAAACTTCATCAAACCAGCAAAAATACAGAAAAAAAACAAGAAGAAACAAAATCAGTTGTAATCCTAAATCAAGGCAACAGGGACAAAATTCAAGAATATCAGTCATCAGTATAAATGGGAAATAACCAAATTCTCTGCTTAAAAGATTGGGCTAAAAAATCCCCAAAACCAAAAAACAGCCCTGCTATAAGGTATGTGGAAGAAATATGCCTTAAACAAAGGAAGAAACAAAGGCTGAAAATGAAGGGACAAGGTAAAAGATGTCAGGCTAGTGCCAACACAGAGGAGAGACATCACCACTGTCAGCCAAGATAGGAATTAAAGTAAAAAGAACTAAGCAGAATAACAGGGACAACAAATTATAACGATAAAAGAAACAATTTATAGGGAAATCATAATATCCATAAGCCTATATATTCAAATAATCACTATAAATAAACAAACAAAGCAAGAACTAGGAAAAATACAAAGTTAAGAAAAATACAATCCAAGTGAGAAACTTTAATAGATGTTTCTGAGAATTGAACATTCAGTAAACACAGTATGTGCAAGGACAGAGAAGAACTGAGCAATACAACCAATAAATTTGATTTAGGAGACATAAAGAAACTTGAATCAATAAGGAGAAAACTTTAAAAAAAAAAGTTTAAAAGTCACGTATCAGGCTGGGCGCGGTGGCTCAAGCCTGTAATCCCAGCACTTTGGGAAGCTGAGGCAGGAGGAACACTTGAGTTCAGGAGTTCAAGATCAGCCTGGGCAACATGACAAATCACTGTCTCTACAAACAAAATACAAAAACATTAGCTAGGTGTGGTGGCAGACACATGTAGTCCCAGCTAAGTGAGAGACTGAGGTGGGAGGATCCCTTGAGCCCAGGAGGTAAAGGGTGTAGTGAGCCGAAATGGCGCCACTGCGAGACTGTCTTTAAAAAAAAAAGAAAAACTCCTTAAATCTAATTCAGAATATTTGTCTGAAAACCTATTGCAAATGTCATTCTCTAAACAATGGAAAACTAAATCTATTTAAATTACAACTGATATTAGACAGGAATGTCCTTCCATAATTATTTTAAAACACTTACATGAAAACTTATACTTGAAGACCTATACAAAAGCAAACAAAACCCCCATGTGCCGTCCATTATCCAGCTTCAACAATTAGCAACTCAAGGTCAATAATGTTTCATCTATTTCCATAATTATCAATGCCACTGCCTGGATGATTATGAAGCAAATACTACTATCTAGTATCTATGCATATCTAAAAACAAGGGCTCCTAAAAATGACACACCATTATCCACAGCTAGTTCTTTAATGCAATCAAATATCCAATCAGTATTCATATTCTCCATTCTCTCATTTCTTCCTTGAATCAAGATCCAAATAAGACCTAGATAATGCAATTTCACCATGATTATGTAATACTACCTTGGTGTGTTTATGGAATATAATGAAAAGAAGATGAAAACAAAATGCTTTTTGCTGATTGGACTGAATACACAGAAAATACAAATACTCTAGTTAAAAGAATTCTAGAATAAGGTAATTTAGTAAAGTAGCTTAATATAAGATTTCAAGTAAGTCAAGTACTAGCACTAAATATTGAGGAATAGAAATGGAGGCACATCATTTACAATAGAATTTTTAAAAATCCAGGAGCTGGGCTCAGTGGCTCCTGCCTATAATCCCAGCACTTTGGGAGGCGGATCATTTGAGTTCAGGAGTTCAAGACCAGCCTGGCCAACATGGAGAAATCCCATCTCTACTAAAAATACAAAATTAGCCAGGCGTGGTGGTGCATGCCTGTAATCCTGGCTACTTGGGAGGCTGACAGAGGAGAAATACTTGAACCCAGGAAGCGGAGGCTGTGTGGAGCCGATGGCACGCCACTGCACTCTAGCTTGCGTAACAAGAGCAAAATACTTTGTCCCCCAAAGCAAGGTGCTTCAAGGTAGAGGAAATGGCCATCCCTGAGGAAGCAGACAATTATCTCAACACTTTCAAATTAAACTGCATATTCATTAATCTTAATCAAAAAAAAAAAAAAAAAATCCAAAGAAGGGACCAAACTAGAAGAGAGAAAACAGGTCCTACATAAATTATTTTTATTTTTATTTTCCCCAAATTAGCATGTAATTTGATCCATTTCTAGGTGGAATCCCTAATGGTGTGGCTTTTTTCTTAAAGGACTGGATAAAACGAGAGTCAGGTTCACATGGAAGCATAAATGCCAATGCCGAGGACAGAAAAGAGCAGGCACTTGCCTTACCACCTATTACATATGTCTGATTTCAAACCCACACAGTACAACATAGGAGTATCATAGAGCACTTCCAAAGGCCCCCTCGGCCTCACTGAACCCTGAGCATACATACGGGAAAATGGAGACACCATTTGTCTCAGACTGACATTTCAACTTTGCTTTGATTTTACCAAGTTTCTCCTGCCATCTCCTGTTTTTTTTTTTTCTGAAACTTAATATGGATCCACAATACGGATCCACAATTTTCTCTCATAATTTATTAACTAATGTAAAATGGAAGGTGAAAGAGGAATAATGAACCTCTGAAGCACATGGTTTTCAATGAGAAAGCCTTCATCTAGCAACACAAGCTGTCAAGCACTGTGATTAAACTTAAACACTGGGTGCAGACAAATTGGGTCAAAAACGCAGTCAAATGAAAATTGTATTCCTTCAGATCGTGTTTATTCCACATGCCAGAAGTTGTTTAAAGCACAACTTACTTCTTCCACAGAATAGTCCCATTCCAATACACAAAAAAAACCCAATTTTCCAAAACAAAGAAGAAGATGAAGAACATCCTGCGATGTAGAACCCTGAAGGTCCATATCTCTTATTTAAAGCATTTGGTTCTTTGGGTTTGAGGAAGGTACATGTTCAGAATAACCACAGAACACTCTTAACAGGGACTGGGGCAGGAATCAGTGGCATGTATGACCGCTAACAGAAAGTGGAATAAATAGGCTATACACATGTCCTCACCTCAATTCTGCTGCCAAATGAGTTTTGGTGTCCCTCTTCCTCCAGAAAAAAAAAAAGTACCCGTAACTTTTTCTTTTACAGCAGTTTCCGTATGATGGTATTGGGAATAAAAAGGGACCCTGAGTTACATTTATGAATGATAGGAGAACCGCTGACCTCTTTCCCTAGGTCACCTTGTTAGTTTAGGAGCCAGTCAGAATGTAAATCTGATCTAATTAAAATGCTTTTGTTCTTTATTCTGCACTGGTGAGAGAGATCAAGGTGGAAGTTGGGAAAAAAAAAATCAGGACCACCTTTACAGCTAATGAGATCAACGCCAAGATTAGACATTATAGTACACAGCATGAACTAGGATGCTGGGTGGTGCAAAGAATCACTTAACGGAAGCTATCAAAAATAAACGAAAGCAATGAAGCTCAAATCATAATTATCAAGTACAAGCTTTCATGACCCCTACACCAAATTTTCTTTATGACAGCAAAGCTACTTTGAAACATGATGCCTGCAGGCCTTATGACGCGAATCATTAGAAAAATAGTGGAGAACCTACCAGGTGCTGGTCACCGACCTAGACAAGGGGATGGGGGACAAGATTAACATGTGCCCTGCCCATCGCACGGCCAATAGGCTAGTGGACTACCATCCGGAACATCAGTCAAACGCCCAAGCCAAACTGGAGGCAATCTAACTTGGGCAGAATCCCACAAGCAGGGACTAGGTAAGGGGAAGGCGGAGAAGGTGGGAGGCATGCAGACCTAGGGAAGGGTTTGGGCAGTGGCCAAACATGAAGAAGTTTCAAGCACAAGCCCAGTGTAGCTGGGTCATGTGTTTGCGTGGAGAGAGGACAGGGTCTGGCGGTATTGCACGCCAGGTGTTGTCTGGGCCTGCAGGCCACGTCACAGTTGGGACTTCACTGAGAGCACAGGTTTGCATTCTCATCCCCCGCCCAACTCAGCGGCCTCCCACCCCGTACCCTACGCCCGGCTGTGTGTCCGTGCCTCGCTGGTGCAGCCCTCCGCCGCCTCTCCACGCCGAAAATACGCGCAGGCGAGGCCTAGTCGCTCTCTCCCGCTTACTCGCCGCGTCCAGCCGAAGGGCTTGGAGGATGAGGGGCCGGCCTGTCCTCCACGCCCCCGGGAGGAAATGGCACCGTCAGAAAGACAAGATGGCCACACAAGCCGTTAGGTGCTCGTCGGGCCTGAACCTGCAACCTCCCTCCGTGCATCAACCCTCCCGGCCTCGACTGCACTGGACGCCTCGAGGCCCAGTACCAACGACCGTGCAGTGGCACTCCCGCAGGGTCACCACGGGGACCCCGGGATCCCCGCTCCCGCGCCAAGCCCTGCCCGTGTCGGAGCCACTAGTTGCCGGCACTAGGGCCGCCCCGGATACAGGAGCCCACGCGGGGGCCGAAGAGCCCGGCCCGGCCGCCCCTCCCCCACCACGCCCCGCCGGCGCCCCGACAAGGCCGACCTCCGCGCGAGAGTATGGGACGAACGGGGCGTCTCCCGCACCTCCTGGGGGAGCCGACCCACAACTTGTGCCCCCGCCGCCGCGGGAAACACCGGCGAGAGACTCACCCGCCACCCAGCGAGAAAACAGGCACCGATAGACCGCGCCACGGACCCGCCCAGCGCCCGCGGCCGGCTCACCCCGCCCCGCCAGCGCGCAGGCGGATTGCGTCACGCGTCGCCCCGCCCCTTTGCCAACTCTTTCCTGGCTCCGCGCAGCTCAGCCTTCTTCCCCTCCCCCGTGCGGCCGGCTTCCGAGTGCGCAGGCCCAGACTCGTCCGCGTTGTCCGCCTCTGCGCAAGCGCCGTGCTCCTCCCACGGCGGTTGGCCATATAGAGGCTGGGGGTGGGGGGAGGTCAAGCGTACTCTCTTCTCCTTTACCAAGATGGCGGCTTGCCCCTGTTTCGCCACAGTTCCTACCTTATGAGCTTGGTTTTCCTATGCTAATAAGAGTGGAACAGGTAATGAGAATCTTCGCCTTGCAGTGGGTAACTGGCATGGGGGGAAGGGCGTTTGTTAGGAGGAGCCAGGTGCCCACCGAGGAGGGGAGAGGCGGTCGGGGGAGGGCAGGTGGTGGCGGGAGTGCGGAGCGATCACGGGGAAGGGGAGCCGCCGCTTCTGCTCCTGGCCTCCAGGAAGACGGCGGCAGCACCGAGCCGGGGCGCCAGGCGGTCTGGGCGGAGGAGGCGAGCGGCCGCGAGAGGCTGGTCTAGCCCGCGGCTGCCGCCGTCTCGGTGACCGGGGCCTCTCCGCGATTGGCTGCACGCGGGCCACGTGGGGCCGACGGCGCTGCGCAGACCATCGAGTCGGCGTCCCTCCCCGGGGACGTGGCCTTCCTGTGCCCGGGCTGGGGCCCGCCGCCCCGCGGGGGAGGGCGGAGCTGGCGCGGCCCCTAGCTTTCTCCTTCTGGTGTGGGGCCCGAGGTGAGACCTGGGGAGAGCTCCGCGAGCCTACGAGCAGCGACGTGGCTCGGGGACGGGAGGGCGCCGTTCCTGGCTGCGGCCTGAACGGGATGGGCGCGGGCGGCTCCGGCCCGCGGGTTGTGCCCCGGCCCGGGGTGTCCTTTCCTCCCTCCCGCGTGGCCTGGAGGCTCAGCAGTTGTCCGAGACTCACAGCAAGGCTCGGCGCAAAGACCCCTCGTTCAGGAAGCCTTCCTAGGTTTCTCCCCTTTAAGGGAAATACTTTCTGAGTTCCTAATGGCTGACCCGCCTGGTGTTGGGAACCTGAGCTGTTCTGACACCGTGGCGTGTTGCGAGGGTATTTTTGTGGTGGCTCCTTTGGAAAGTGGTAAGGCGCTCAGGGCTAGCTGCTGCGTATCCTCTCTACTCCACTTAGGAAATGAGAGGTCGGACTGGACGTGGTGTTTGGACGCCATGTAAAACCAAAGGAGGCCGACTTGCGCTTTGCTTTATTGAACAGTGCTTATAGTCAAAGGAAGCGTTTGGAAGAATGTGGATGAGTCGTAATCTTCGGGAACGTGACGATTTGCCCCTCAGTTGTGCATTTTGCTGTGTGTCCTCAGATTCATAGCAACCCTATACCCTAACCCTCAAACAGTGACTTAACATTTGTTTGATGCCTGCTTAAGAATAATCAGTCATTTTCTTAGCAGGTAACTTCCTTAAAACCCTATTAAGATAGGATAAGTCGGGCCGGCCGCGGTGGCTCACGCCTGTAATCCCAGCACTTTGGGAGGCCGAGGCGGGTGGATCGCGAGGTCAAGAGATCAAGACCATCCTGGTCAACATGGTGAAACCCCGTCTCTACTAAAACTACAAAACATTAGCTGGGCATGGTGGCGCGTGCCTGTAATCTCAGCTACTCAGGAGGCTGAGGCAGGAGAATTGCCTGAACCCAGGAGAGGGAGGTTGCGGTGAGCCGAGATCACGCCATTGCACTCCAGCCTGGGTAACAAGAGCGAAACTCTGTCTCAAAAAAAAAAAAAAAAAAAAATAGGGTAAGTCACAATTAGGATTTTGTCTAAGGCTCCCGGTAGTGGCACCTTGCATAATAAGCTTACTGTTCATTTAGGGAAGCAAATCTGGGATGCTGAAAAACTGGATGAAACCTAGTGCTTATATTTATATTTTGATTTTTTGACAGCTGGATGTGCCCCTAGGCTAAATTCATTAAGTACACATGATGTTAGGATACTTAGCAGCAGTATTTAAAAGTAGTTCAAAAGGTGTTTGGTTAAGAATTATTTCCATCATTTGAATTATCGAATCTCTGGGTCTGAAATGTCAACCTGTTGAGTTTTAGACTTGGAGAAAATGGAGCTGGAGCCTATTTCCTGAAGTCTCAGGTACAGCATTTGAAACCCAGTTAAATAATGCATCGTGAGGATTAAACTTTCCTGTTACTACTGTTAGGTTTGCTTGGTGCCAAGCGCTGTTGAAAGGACTTAGCTCATCTTATCATGTGTCAAATTAACGTCATTGGGGTAAAAGTACACTGAGTGTAAGGAGAGCACCTCTAAGATGTAGCTGACCTGTGTCCCGTCCCTCAGCGCCATTAAGCTTAATTGAATCCCTGTTACAGTGTCACATCCAGTGGGCAACGCTAACTTCTTAGTGGCCTGGTGAGAGAATTTCTTCTTGAGCAATTAAGTATTTTACCTGGTTTTGTTGTTTTGGCCTTCCCGTTGTCTAGCTTCAGCCTCATGGCCTCACTTCTTCATTTCAATTCAAAAAAATATTTGCTGGAAATTGCTGTGTAAGCTTAAGGGCTCTGCGGATACAAAGGTTAAGAGGATATCGAGTTTTCAGCCAGGCGTGGTAGCTCATGATTGTAGTCCCAGCACGGGAGGCCGTGGCAGGCGGATCACTTGAGGTCAGGAGTTCGAGACCAGGCTGAGCAACATGGTGAACCCCCGTCTTTACATAAAAATAAAAGTATTAGCCGAGCATGGTGGTGCACGCCTGTAATCCCAGCTACACACTAGGTTCAGGCACGAAAATCAAGAATCGCTTGAACCCAGGAGGCGGAGGTTGCAGTGATGAACCAAGATTGCACCACTGCACTCCAGCCTGGGCGACAGAGTGAGATTCCGTCTTAAAAAAAACAAACAAACAGAAAAACCCAAGAGGATATAGACTTCTTTTCGTCAAGCAGTTTGTGGTCTGATGTGGGAGACTCATTTGTCATTTGTAGACGAGTAATTGCATTATGGTGTCGATAAGTAATTGCATTATGGTGTGATAGAAATACGTCTAAGGTGTGGACATAGGAAATAGGCTGTGATTACCTGTTGGAAAGTCTTCAGATAGAATGTGATCCTTGAACTGGGGTTTAAAAGATGAGTAAGAGTTTTTCCCGGTGCTGCTGGGAGGAGACGGGAAGACTAGGAAAGAGGAGGCTGATGTTCATAGTTGGTTGTAGCTGGTTTCATATGTGGGCAACAGGTTGACAATTTGTTATACTCTTGCCATTGCAAATGGTAAAGGGCTTGGCTCAGACCGTGTAGTGAAGGGCATTTATCTAAGATAGTCTGACCCCCACAGAATTTGAGATAATGACACTGAGTCCACTGGGATAACTTAGGATCTTTCATGGGTCATTGGATTCTCCATTAGTGCGTCGCAACTGAAATTTATTTACAGAAAGGATTGAGCAGAGAACATGCTTTATGAAGTACCAAGTGGTTTTTCTATTTGGCATGGCCCGTTCAGTGTGCATGCGTCCCATAGGCAAATGGTGGTAAGAAAGCAAGCTCTGGAAGAAGCATACCACGCAGCTTTCTCAGTTGCCAAATTATGATGATACGAAAGTCCAAAATACATGTAAAGGTTTTTGACCAAGTGGAAAAGCAGAGGACCTCAACCAGTATAATGCTTTTTTCCTTAAATTGGAAAAGCACCACAACATTCAACATTTGGAAACCGAGGAAATAATGAAAAGAACCTTTTTTCATTTGTATAATATTTTAAAAATTGGTTACATGTTATTTTTCAGTATTTCTAAAGTCAGAGACATTTTAGAAGTGAACTCCCTAGTAGGCTGTTGTTTTACCAAGCACACCGAAGTTCCTGGAATACGGAGACATTTGTTCTGAGACCTGTCTGGACGTCGTGTCGTCGTGTTAGCCATCTTGTTGGTACTTGCTATTAATTTGGTAACAATACGTTGACTGCATACTCTCCCTTACTACTTTTTATTAGCATTCATGTTAATCTTATTTCAAATCAAGGTTATATCTTAATGTAATTTCTAGAGTCAAATATTCCTAGAAAGGCTTGTAAGGAAAAAGTGCTACTGTCCTTCCGCTAATCGCCTGTCCTCCCCTGCAGAGTGTCTACTTTAGCCTTAGTAGGTTTCCTTGATCTTTGCCTCCAACTCTGAAGAGCATATTTGCTTGACATCTGTATCTGTGTCCCCTCCCCGTTTCATGTGGCATCTCTTCACTTGACACTGAGAATAGGTAGGAAGTTCCTAGCTTTCTTTCACCCTCTGCCTTCTCTGTGCAAACAGATCCATGGCTGCCCAAAGTGATATATTACTAATTTGGTCAGTTCAGTATTATTTTATGACTACATGTTGCCATTCACAGCTGGGCAACGTGGTGTAATAGGGTTGTTTTCCCTTTTCTGGATAACTTTGTTTTCCTGGTTATCACAAGTCTCATTTGTTTTTGTTTGCTTCCTGCCTGCTCAGTTTTCTGTATTTTATCACAACAATTCAACCTCAAATTCTGCACCAATTGTCTAAATTTCCTTTCAAGAAATTGTCTGTTCTTTTGATGAAAATTAGTATTCCTATCATTTTATCTTGAATAAATCTCTTCCAACACCTCCAACCTGCTGCAGGCGTGTCTGTGCCTAGAATCTTCCTGTAAATTTCATTACTCCCTCTTGTGTTGGAGTCTCAGCTTTCTGGAACCCAAGTCATTCTCTTGATTTTCCTGTCTCACTTTCATGGAGCACATTCTTCAGTAGTTGCCTGAGAAGGGCACGACAGATGAAGTTTGAAGAATGTGTATGTATGAAAGTGCTTTATTCTGCTCTTATACTTGAGTAGGAGTTTGGACAGCATTTTGCTCCACTGTCTTTAAGCTTCTAGTGTTGTTGAAGTCTTAAGCCCTTCTGATTCGTTTTTCTTTTTATTGATATGTAACATTTTTAGAGCTTTTGTGTGACTCTGTTTTCCTCCATGAAGCTTAAAGGCTTTTCTTTCTGTTTCCTTTCTTT